CTTGCCTTAACCTTCAGCTGATGATACCCCGACCTCAAGTCAATTTTGGAGAACACCGTTGCACCCTTTAACTGGTCGAATAAGTCTTCTATTCTTGGCAGTGGGTATCTATTTTTGACAGTCAGATTATTCAACTCCCTGTAGTCAATACACATCCGCATACTCCCATCCTTCTTCTTCACGAAAAGTACTGGAGCGCCCCTAGGAGATACACTCGGTCGAATGAAACCTTTTTCCAGCAACTTCTCTAATTGTAAGTTCAATTCTTGAAGTTCTTTTGGTGTCATTCTGTATGGGGCCTTAGAAATTGGTGTCACGTCGGGAACTATGTAAATTGTAAATTTCACTTGCCTATCTGGTGGAATGCCTGATAGATCTTCTGGGAATACGTCTGCAAAGTCTTGCACAACGTTAATATAATTGACAATTGTTTCTGTATGTTTGGAACCGAATCAATTAACTAAGAATCCCTGGCATGACTCATTTCTCATCATTTTCTCCGCTTGTAAAGCCGATACGTTCTATTCGGCGAGATGATTAACATGATATATTTATTTATCAAAAATCATTTGGAATCAAATGAAATATTTGATATCAAAATAACCCACTTGAAATCATAAACTAGTGAAGAATTTGACTTAATTGGAAATTGCTTAACACTTATCAAAACCCATTTAGAATCAAATGAAATATTTGATATCAAAATAACCCACTTGAAATTATAAACTAGTGACGAATTTGACTTAATTGGAAATTGCTTAACACTTATCCTACATAGAAAAGTTAAGAAACTTCGGTATGTTTTATAAAGTGGAAGTTCAGTAATTGGGTTTGGGCCCTAAGGGGTACCAATAGTCTTTGGAAGGGGGAAACCTATATGATAAGAATGTAAAATGCATATTTTTCCTCCTTATTTTATGTGCTCGTATGATTAATCAGTGCCAAAATATACTCATTAGTTTCATAATTTGATTTAGGTGTCAATTATATGGATATGGTGTAATTTGGAAGAAATAAGCGAATAAGGGCCAAAATGGAAGAAAACGAAGTTTGGGGACTGAAATACAATTACTCAAAAGTTAGGTGGAACCTCACGATGAAGATTTGATAGTGTTACAGGTCAAACGGATGAAGAAAAAAGTCAAATGGATGAAATACAATCAAAATATTATCACATATCAACTCCTAGTCGAAAAGGTTATGCTTCAGATTTTCAGTCTCAGATTGAGATCCAGTTTTAGCATAGGAAACGTTCGAATTGGAAACATTATCTGGGAGATTTGTAGACCTTCGAGTTATCTTTCCAATACATCTTGAATCGCCTCAATCGAATATCGAGAGAGAAAGATATAACTAAAATACTGAAATCTGTCATGTATAAAATAGGCAAAACTATGCGGTCGCATATTGTAATCTTCCTTGCGGTCGCATGAGCACATTCAGAGACTTTTAGACCAGTTTCAATGTTCTATGCGACTGCATGACTTACTACTATGCGGTTGCATAGGTGTTTCCCGATACAAAAATTTTGGTTTTCGAATTTAAGTCAACCACATGCAGAAACAACTATAAATAAGTGATTTGCAACCCTAGAATGGAGAGAACGCCTCCAAACTTCATTCTTTATTATTTTGCTCATAGATTCATGAATTGTAACTAAACCATTACACTTGGTCGAAAGAGATTGAAGCCTTATAACCACATATTGTGATATTTAAATAGTTTTTCTTAGTTTAATTCATGTTTTTGAGTATTGAATATTCGTCCGCACTTATTTTCATGATTTGTTATGTTTAATTGTTAGGAGGCCTATAAGTTTGTTTTTCGTTACAATCTACCGCTAAGTAAAATATCAAATCCGTAATTGTATGATTTCTTTAACTTGTGATATATTAGGATTTGATGATTTTCTACGATAGAGGTTATTGAATCTTAAAAAAAATGTTTAAATAGATTGAAT